GCCACAAACAGGACTTTAATATCACCAACCATTCCCATGTTATTATGGTGTATCCATATAAATGGCCCACCCTGTAGATATAACTCTGTGAAACTGGATTTAAAAAAAACAAGCGCTTAACATTTTTAAAAAATGTTTAGCACCATCTTCTGACATCATGTGGTTGGTTGGTTGTGGTTAATAGCCTTACATTAGAGCAGTGTTTCCCAACCTTTTGGAGCCACGGCACGTAGCACACAGCACACCACCAAACAAAAAATTTCACAAAAAACATTGACAAAAAACATGCACCAGCTATAGCGGCTATAGTTTGTTCCCAATATACCATTTTTGCTTTCTTCTGACTACTACTCATGCTAGAACCTTCATCTGGGTTGGACTTTTCTCCAGGACCCAGGTCAGATTGACTACTTTTGCTTTTCAAGTATTTATCTATTGCTGTTACACCCTGCATTGTCGCATGACAATGTAATTTCTTCTTCATCTTCTTCTGTTTAATTGGCAGTTGGCAACCCATTTAATTGGCGCAAGAAGTTGTACTGCCCTCTAGTGGAAGAGAATGTAGTAATTGTTTTGCCCGTTACGCTGGTCGCTTAGAGTACCAATCAGGTGAAACCAGATATTCTTCCACGGGACACCTGATCATTTCTCACGGCATTCCTTTGCGCACAGTGGTTGGGAAACACTGAGCTAGTTAACATAAGCTAATATAAGTCTATTATCATCAACCAACCACATGACGTCACGTTCCGTACTGACAGAAGATGGCGCTAAACATGTTTTTAAAACTTTAAGCACCTATTTCTTAAATCCAGCTTCACAGACAGAGTTGCATCTATGTCGGTTTTTGAGAGCAGGGCTCCATGGTGTAAATTAGTGTTTCATGTCATCTTTAAAAACACACAAAACAGTCAAAAGTAATCTAACTACTGAAAGCACAACTTGGGTCATAAAAGAAAACAGGATATTTTTTTATTTTCAGTTTTAATTTGACCATTTGCAAGTTTCCACTCTAAGTACATCACTTTCACTAGTTATGGCCTCTCCTGATTTTATCCTGTCCGCTCTGAAGACATGCCCGGGTTAGTTAGCTGAGGGTCTTTTGTTGTATTATATTTTTCTTATATCACATGTACATTTATCGTTTTTTATAAGCACCCATTCACACCCAGTCACAGAAGCACCTTTTTTAAATGTTTTTTTTGCCTAAGTGCTTTCTGTCTCACATTCACACTCCGGTGAATGCAGCAGAGCAACTTGGGTTCAGTATCTATCTGTATACTATACTGGAGCAGCCAGGGATTGAACCATTAACCTTTGGATTACTAGATGACCTACTCCACCTCATGAGATGAGCTGCTCTAGCCCTCTTCAAAACAGTTTCTATTCAGAGCAGTTTCCCAAGAACACCAACTTTCGGATGAATTACTACGAGATCAGGTTGACACATAAATGTAGGGGTACATTCACAGGGGTCACTGGTGGTCACAAGATGGTAACAGTAGGTAACACCAATGGCCAGTGGTCCCTCTAGAGTTTCCTCAACAAGGCCATTTGGGCTAAAGGCTCACAACACCCAGTAATGATAGTACCAGTGATGAATGTACCGAAGTACAGTTATGTTATATAATGTATTTTCTCTTTATTTATTTGTTATACTGTTTTCTCCTTCTACTTCACTGTGTATTTGCAAGTTACAACTCGTACAATTTATTTTAGGTCTTATTTTGCCGAATATAAAAATAAATCTTCCAATAAATGTATTATAGATAAAGTGACACAGCAGTATATAAGTAATTAGCTGTAATATAAATATTATATACACAGCATACACAGAATACTGCATAATTAATATTTGAAGTAAAACTTTTGCACTGTTATTTAAGGATGAAGACTTTTACTTAAAGGGTGTAATGCCTATTTCACTACTATTTAAAGCAGAAGAATAAGAATAAATGTTTAGTTCTTATGCAATGCTACCTTTTCTGTAACACCATCTGTGTCGGGGCACTGCTCTGCACACGAGCTCTCGAGATAAACTAAAATAACAAACCTGAATAAATAAATGCGAAATGTTGTAAAATATAAAATGTGTTAGCGTTTAGCACCGCTGTGTCTAGAGTCGCTCACAGTCTCTGGATGTGGGCTGTCTAGTTAATGATGTAAAACACCAAAATTAGTTACTTGGTAATTTATTCCAGCACATCAGACTTTGACATGCCAGAATTATGATTATTTAATAACCTACTTTCCTTCATGTACTAATTAATGTATCAATCATGCCAGTATGTGTGTTCCTCTGTATTTCAGGTCACGCTCCGGGCCAGTTGTACACATACCCCGCTCGCTGCTGGCGCAAGAAGAGACGGCTAAACATCTTGGAGGACCCGCGGCTTGTACCGATCGAGTTCAAGATAGGTGAGTAGGAAATGGGATGAACAGAAACACTTGAAAGAAACTGCAGAATATCTCAACTATGTTAGGTGTGGTAGACATTGCTTCAATGAAATTGAATTAAATTCAGAGTCACACAGAACATCTCTTTTCTTTGAAAACTTTTTGGATGTTATTGTATAACTAACTTCAGTGGAGTGATCATATTTGTAGAAAACTTTAACCTCATACTTAAGTAACTTGGATATTTTCTTATTTTACCAACATTTTACAGCAATTGGTTAATGCTTTGAGAAAATTTAAAAACAGCAATTTTCCACAAGTGTTATACAATCATGTGACGCTAAAATGGCCATGATCATTTCAGCCTCTGTGCCGTAGAGATGCTAAAAGTCACTGCAGTTTCATGAACAAGCCAAATTTTGTGTCCTCGGGGCTCTGTCAGCTCGACTGTGCACGCCAGCGTGAAGTCGTGCTTTCTGCTGCTTTCTGATTGTAATCGTCTCGTTCCACAGACTACGAGGCATCTTTAAAGAAGGAGGGGGGGATCCCAGACGGTCCCGTGCTGGAGTCGCTGCTTGCTGGGGAAACCCTGGACAAGAAAGTAGAAACCAAGGAAGAAGAGCCCATGAGCGAGTGTCAGGTGAGACGCTGCTTCCTCTTTCCTCAGTCGTTTCTCTCTCTGTAGTTCTTTGTTGCTCTCCACGTCTTGTTGTTTTCTTCTCATGTCAGGCTGTCTGTCTTTTTTTATCCATCTGTGTTTGCGTTTCTTTGTCTGTCTATGCCTTTTTGTGTGTGCGCGTCTCTCTCGCTCTCTCGGAGTGTGCGTTTTGGCGGTGACATGGGCTCCTGCGGCTCCTGACAGCGTGTGCGTGTTTCCCATCACTGCACTTGTGGCTTGTTGTTTTACGGGGATCCCGCTCAGTTGTTTCACAGACCAACTTTGAAAATGGTTTTCTTTTTTTCTTCTTTACATTAAAAGGAAACATAACTTATGTGCAAAAACTTAATGCTCATCTGTCTGGAGCATTTCACCAGCTCGAGGCTGCCGCTGTTGAACTCTCACGGACAGCTAATCAATCAGCAGTTGAGTGAATAGCGCTCACAGTGGCCCTTTGAGAGCTGGAGTCGTGTTTAGGGCCTCTAATCCGGGGCTTCCCCGAACTCGTGCTCTTTAGCAGGCAGGCGTTATACCGTGTGTCCCATCAAACACTCAACTGTCAGCTTTTTACACTTTTCTTACTACAATATTTGAGCTCAGTGTCTGTGATATTCCACACATGAATATATTTGAACAAAGCTGGTGTCTTTGTTAAAATAGATGTTTAGTCCTACTGAAGCTCTTGCTAATAGAACGCTAAAAGCCTCTCATCCAAGAGGGGCACTCCACTGATTTTACGCATAGTCTTCAGTTTATTCATCACAATGGACTCTGCACAGCCTGTGAAGTTTCTAATGAATAGGCTGTAATGCATACTCAAGTGAAGCTTTTTGGGGGATTTAGGACACAAAGGAGTTTGGTAAAACAAGCTATCAAGTTTTAATATAGGAAGTGGAAGTATGTTTTTGTTGGCTGACCCAAAAGGAAGGGTATGTCTGACACTTCTGCCTGCCTTTGCTCATTCTGTTATGCCCCCCTTTGCCCAGTTTTATTCGATTTTCATGATCTACCTGTTTAATTGAGAAAATTGTGATTCAAATGTTGTCATATTTTATTGCAGCAAAACGGTGAAAGTATTGGTTATGTTCAGTGTTAATAGTGCTTTCATGCTGGGATCATCCAAACAAGTTAAAAACAGCAGGAAAGTGCGCAATTTAATTTAAACATACGGGCTCATGCAGGGTAAAAGAAAAAATAAATGACTTAAGTGATAAAAGGAA